TGGGAAATTTGCCACTGGCTTCACGAAAGTGAGGGTGGGGATGCCTTTCTTTTTTAATCCATATTGTTATGTAGAGGAAACACCCTTGTTAACCCTTGAAGGGGGGAAATGAAACGAACGTTTCTTTTGCAGAATCAGAGACGCCAGTGGGGAGGAGTTTTCTAAAACGCGGTTCTGTCCCCGTTCTTCCTCTGCCTCAAAGCCTGAAACTTTTTAGAAGCGCACGTTTTCTCAGTGCAGGCTCAGTATGAAGATGACACATTTAGTCTTTGCTGAAGACTTAAAGCAGATGCAAGCTCCAATTTTTAAATGCCACTGATAATTTTGTGATATGTATCTATATATAGAAACACACACGCACTTAAACATACAGAGGGAGTGAAAGTGAGTGGGGGGGGCTCTGTGATTTCTTAATAATATATTTTACAGTATGTCCTGGCTATTCATTGCATTCAGTCTCCTTCTCCTCGCCTTGCTATAATGGATAATCTAGGATACATACAGTGGCGTGGTCACCTTGCCTTTTTTGCAGAGGCTCTTCGAAATAACGTTAAAACCCATTCAAGATGCTTGTGTGGATCTAGAGTTGTTTATTTAGCACTGCTGGAGCTAAATAAATCTTACTTAGTAGTAACAGTAAATGTTTCCTCGAAAGCCGTACATTCCCATGGGGTCAGTGAAAAATCAACTGAAGGCAAAAATAAAATTCCATTCATGTAAAGGGCTAGGCATCCCTCTGGTGCAGCTAAAGAGGCATTTAGTGCAGAAGATGCACCGATTAGAAGGTTACAGAATGACAGCTAGCTGTCTGTGCGATTTAACCAGTAAGCACATTACACTGTAGAATAAGATCTCCAGTTTATCTGTAGCTTTCAGACTGAGAAGAGCATGTTTACCTGGCTGAGTGCGCACATGCGAGCATCAAGGGATGTCTGTCGATCACTTTGAAGAAATCCAGTAAATGTTTTCTGAGTTTGCTACTGGGAGGGAATTGGGAAAGGTCTGAAGCCTCTTACCGTTCAATAAAGCTGCAATTTTAGTAGATCCCTCTGGATTCAGTGCTGCTTACACAGGAAGCATCCTAGGTGGACATTTATGTCCCTGACAAATATTGTTAGTTAATCCCTTTTTCCGTAGTGCCAACTGTGGTGGCCACAGTGCCAATTCCGTATTCTGTGGGATGTCAAATTGATTTTCAAGGGCCAGTCAGACTTACCACTGTCCATGATTAAATAGAGAGAGATTCTGTACAAACCCGCTCTCACTAGTCTTCTAGAAACCTGCTCTCTCTAGTCTTCTAGTGGTAGCTAGAAAGCAGGGCAAAACCTAGAGTAGGGGAGGGCAAACCGAAAGACTTGTGAGAGTTCTCTCCCTCTTTACCAAAACGCTGAGGTCCAGCATCGCTGTTCTGGATGTTCTTGCTGTCGTTATGTGCCATCAAGTTGACTCAGCAACCTACAGACCCCCTCAAGAAGCCCCGTCCTTGGCTGCCCTGCCAGGGGTGGGGGGCAGAGCCAATTACTCACTGAACCCTATACAGGGATGAGCAGCACACAGGAATACTGAAGCGCCTCTGATTTCCAACGGAGGAGGATTCTAACTGTCTGATTTAGGCCTTAAAGTGGCTATTGTTAACGAGCTGGGAATTAGGAAGCCCTTGCCAATGTACTGCAAAGCGCCCCAGATCGATCAGTAGATCAGAGTCTTTCTGCCCATCCCTGATCCGGAGAAATTCCCATTCATTTTCTCTACCAGTGTCATCGCCTCGCCTCTAGGACAGCCCTGTCCAGCACGGCCAGAAGACAGCGCTGCAACGGAGTCAGCATCAGGGCAGCCCTGTGCGCCAGGGAAGGGCCATGGCTGGGGAGAAAGCACAGGCTTTGCTCTCAGAAATCCCCACTCGCATCTCCATTTAAAGGTTACACCTCTGCTAAGAAGAGCTCGAAAAGGCCTCTGCCAGTTGGAGAAACTAGTAATGGATTAGACTGTCAGTATGTGCATGCTGCCTCATTTGGCCAAGTGCCTGATAACGCTTTAAAAGTAAAGAAATAAGCCCTTAAACCTGGTTATTTTGGAAGTCTGTTTGGATATTTGTAGCATAGTTGCATTAAAGCATGCAAAGGACCATAATGTAACATCCAACATAGGTCCTGAGTAGAGGAAAACCATTGAAATTGATGGACTTAAGTTAGCTATGAAATCCCATTCCTTTCATTGGGACTACTGTAAGAAGGGCTTATACCGGATTTTACCAATGAATGGCATGAGGGTAGGTAATGCATTATAACACGAAAGAGGCCTTTTAAAAATATGGACAGAAACACTTTAGAAAAGCTTGACAGGAAGCGCTCCTTTGCCACGCTGTTACCTTGGGTCAGAAGAAGGGTTTTGGTTTAATTATCAAGAAATAGGGAAAGAAGGTTAAAGGGGAATGAAAATTATTTCTGAATGAGCCGATATTGGGAATGCAGAGCAATGATTATGAATGAATATGGAAGATATGGTTGGTAGGGGAAAAAATACAAACCACGTTGCTTGACATAAAGTCTCGTGGGAATGCCTCCTGTATTAAACATTATGAGATGTATCAAAGGCCTAAGAGTATATCTTATAATTCCTCATGTGTTAATTCTCCACTGGGTATCTTGACATGTGTGGGAATGGTTCTCTAGTTAAGAAACTTTATGACTTACAATTGGATTTCCTTCTGTTTTTCCCCTCATTGTTTTTTGTTAGCACGAGCTTACGGTTTTGACTCATCTAGATAAATGACAGCGAAAGGGATTTTTTTTTACAAAGATGCTCTAAAATAATTAATTATCTTCTTTCTGTGTTGATTGTTGTGATGAAAACTAGACCAAGGAAAAAATGAACAAGAGAGAGAAGATCTATATTAAGCATAACGTAAATGGCCTTTTCCGCTACTCAGTCTGAACAGTCCTTTATTAAACCTGCTTGCTTATCAGCATTTAACCACTCAATTAACCAGAGGAAAGGTGAACTCCAGATGAAAATGCCCCCAGACAATTGCAATGTCCTGCTTAATGCTCTGTTTCATTGGCGAGCTTGGATTGAGCAGCACGCACACGGGCGGCCGGAGAATTTCGTTTGCTCCGCTGTAATATTATTGTGAGCGGAATTGACATTGCCGTATTAGAGGGCTTTGTGAGGAGAGAGGGAGGTAGACTAGGCAGAGCCCCCTTCGTTTAGGTAATCCAAGCTCTTGATTATCCATATTCCATTTTTAAAATGCTATGAAGAAAGCGTTCAGGGGCCTGCTGTGGATGACTGCATGATTAATGTAATGCGGTTTGAAGGGCCTGTGTTTTCTCTCTTAATTTGGGTCATTATTCAGAAAGCAAGCAGTTAAATCGTTTCATTAGCGTTCAGGGAGGAGGAGGAGGAGGAGGAGGAGAATAATATAAACACTAAAGTCAAAGAGAGAAATAGTCAATCAGGAAATGACTTAAATAGATCTTAATTGAGGGACCCCCAAAAGCTGATAAATTACAGTTGAAGGAGACAGAGTTTAGTTTCCAGTTTAGCGCTCAACACCATTCGGGGGGCGGGATTCTGCATCCCTCCTTCCCAAATTAGTGGGAAGCTGGGCTTTCCGAACCGGAGATCGGAACAAAATTATCCCCCGGTGGAGGACAAAATTAAAACAAAACTGCGAAGCGACTGGTCTTGGTGGCAGACGGCGGGGGGGGGGGAGGCCGGCCGGCCCGCCCGCCCGGTTTTCACTTGCTCGTCGCGGGGGGGGGGTGCCTGAACAGCATTTTCAAGCCCAGATCGCCCGGATTCTTCCACGTTGCAAAGCTAGCCGGCTCGCCGGCAGCCGCTTCCCCGCAACCGAGGCGCCTCCGCCCGCGCGGCCGCGACAGCCCCGCGAACGCCGCTCCTGACCCGCAGCAGCGGGACGCGCCGTCCTGCCGGCCTTCTCTCGCCGCCCGCCGCCCGGGCTCGGGCAGACCTGGGGGGCCGATCCCCTTTGCCTTGCGTTTCTTTACACGAGATCCTCAGCCCGCCTCGGAGGATGCAGATCCCGTTCGGAGAAGCGGGTCTCCAGGAACGAGCTGCCTAAAAGAGAGGCGCCGAGCCCTCCTCGTCGGACATAAATCTGGGGAGCGGGGGGGGGGGGAGCCAATTAAGAATAATCCAGCAGCAGAAGCGAGAACACGCGGGCCCGCACCTTCCAAACTCCGCCTTTCCCCCTCAGCTCCGGATTAGCCTGGGTGCTGCGTGCAACCGAATGGGCGCCCCTCTTGCGGAGCTGACACGCTTCCGGGCCCCGGGAGAGCTTGACACTCGGACCCGACCGCTTTGGGAAACCCTCCCCTGAAACTGAACGGGGAAAACGCCGTCCACTTCAGCGGGCTTTCGCGGAAGTGGTTCGGGGGGGGGGGGTCCTACCCATGCCATTAAAACCCTGATTTCCCCTCCCCCAAACCTTTGCAATAACTAATTTGGAACCGGGATTAAAAAAAAAATGCTAGGTTTGGGGGGAGCTGGAAATAAGACTCCTCTAAAGCGACCTTTTTATTGCCTCGTGGTTGATATATTCCTTAATTATTCGGCCGTACATTAAAATGTAATTTTACAGTCCTATGTACAGTCCTATCTAAAGTAGGATCGGCCGCCGCCTCGGAGGCCCTTCGGAGTTTTCAGTTCGAGATCCGCAACTATGCCCGTAGTTGAATCCGTAGCAGCAAGGGAGTTTTAAATAAGTTTCTTTGCAATATATATATATTTATATAACTGTGTCTAGCCCCCAAAAAGAGGAGGAGGAGGAGGAGGAGGAAGAGGAAGAAAAGTGATTGTCTCATCAGCGCGGTGTGTGTGCATGGCGGAGAGGTCGGTTTTGTGGATGTCTCAGGCCCCTTGAAAAAAGTTCAAAATCTCCGGCAGTCTCTGAACGCCCCGCTTCGAGCGCATCAGAAAGACTTTGCTCGCTCTCCTTGCATTTTGCTTTACTTTATTTGCACGCGTGTGGATTTTGCCTAGCTTTGCACGGTCCTAGAGAGCTCCTTGGCAGAAGGCGCGGCGGCGGCGGCGGCGGCGGCAGCGGCGTCGTGAAGTTTCCGCACGTGTTTCTTTAAGTCAAAGTTCCTGCAGAAGCCTTTGCCGCAGGTGACGCACGTGAAAGGCTTCTTGTCGTTGTGCGTGTGCATGTGGAAAGTCAAATTGTAGATCTGGTGGAAAGCTTTATTGCAGATGGTGCACTTGTACTGCTTCTCGCCACTGTGGGTCAGTTTGTGGTTTTTATAATTCCCTGTTGGAAAAACCGGAGAGAGAGAAAGAGAGAAGTGGAGATCGGAGAGTTAGTTTCAAGAGGGCTCGCCTGAATCTCTCTTCCCCTCCACCATTTCTCTCCCAAGATTTAAGAGTGTATATAAATATTTATCGCTGGAAAAACGCGTTCCTGTTGCAAGACTTCATTAGGAAGTGTCCTGCAAGGGGCAGTCACGGAGTTGTCAAACTCAGTCTGCGTCAAGGCAGAGCCGCATACAACCGGCGAATTAAAAAATTAGAGGCTGGGTCAGCGTCGTGACCCCGAGCAATTGGCAGGCCCTGGATTAGGACCAAAAAGTGGGGGGCGGGGGAGGAGGAGGGGGGAGGAGGGGGACGCCGCTGCCAAGTGGAAGCCGCGCTGCTGGGACAGGCGAATTTCCCGCCGGATCCGGGCAGGCTGCTCCCAGACGCTCGCTCCCAAGCCTCTTCCCGAGGAGGAGAGCCCGGGGCGCTTCGGACCCCGGGCACGGGCAGGGAGCGCGCCCCGCGGGCCGGCGGAACGGCCAGTCCCTCCGTCGCCTTCGGGGCAGCCGAGAGCCCCGATCCGCCCGGGAAAGCGCGCCCGGAGCCCCGCGGAGGCAACGAGCGCATCGGCCCGGCCGGGACGCCTCCTGGCGCCGCCGCGTTCGTCCCGCTGGATCGCAGGAGCGCAAGCGCGGGTCCCTTCCAGGCGCCCCCGATGCCCGCGGACGGGCTGGAGCGGGCCTTTCCCGCAGCCCGGGCAGCGCCCCCCCCCCCCCGAAGGCAAAGCGGGGCGCTGCGAGCGGCGCGGCGCCGTCCCGGGAGGCCAGCGCGCCGCACGGTCCCTGCGCTCGGGACCGGCGAGGGGCTGCGGGCGGCGATTGTCCAGGCGCCTCGGTCTGGTGGGAAAAGCCCTCGCCGCCTGCCCCGCTTCCCCGCTCCTTTGAAAGCGGCACTTCCAGCTGAATAAGTCGATCCGCGGCACTTCCAGCAACAAAGGGCGCGACCGGGAGCTCCTTTTCTGCAAAAACGAGCCCCGTCCCTCCTAAATGTTAGTCCTCATGCTTAAGCCCCGCTCCCCCTCCTCTCCCTCCTGCGACGGAAGCTCGAAATAAAGACCCCGTTTTCTCTAAATACCTTTTTGATGAAATCCTTTGCCACAGAATTCACACACGAAAGGTTTGTAGCCCGCATGGATTCTAATGTGAGTATTGAGCGTGGAACTTCTATTGAACGCTTTCCCGCATTGGTTACACTTGTGGGGTTTTTCCTGTTGGGGGGCGGAAGAGGGCATTTGAAAGAGGTAAACGAGAGGGCAGGACACCATCCGCCAGCCGCTTCGCCTTCGCGGCCACAGCCGGCCGAGCCTCGGGGCCTCCCGCCTTCGCACGCCGGCCCCGCATACCTGCGTGTGGATGATTTTGTGTCTGCACAGTGTGCTGGCCTGGCGGAAGCCTTTCCCGCAAACTTTGCAGACGAAGGGCCTGGCGCCCGTGTGGACGGGCATGTGTCGGGTCAGATTGTAATGGGCGTTGAACACCTACGAGGAAGCAGACAGCAGGCAACTTTTCAGGCCGCGCAGCTCGGCCCGCTCCCCTGCGCCGTCCCCCGCGGAACCCGCGATCCACTTCCAGAGACAAGGACACGGGGATGGGGATGGGGATGGGGATGGGGGGGGTCGGGCGGGCAGAGCTTCTCCCCCAGCGCTGCTTTCAGGGGGCCCCCAGGAGGACCCAGGTGCCGCCACCGGGCTGCGCGACGCGGCCTGCGCAGGCTGCGGCCCGGCGGCGCCTCGGTGCCACGGGAGCGGGCGCCTGGCCTGCGGTGCGGCGGCGGCGGCGGCGGCGCCTGGCGGTTCGCCGAGCGCTCGCCGCGCCGCTGGGACCCGCGCGGGCCTTTGCAGGAGAGCCTTCCTCGGAGGGACCCAGGCCGAGGAAGAAGAGGCTCGCCGCGGAAGGTGCTGCGCCGCGATTCTGCCGGACGGGACGGGGGTAGGTCGCCCGGAGGCGCAGCGATGGACTCGACGCTTGTCACTTGGACAAGCATCTTTGTCCTGCTAATAGTAGCAGCGAATAATAATAATAATAATAATAATAATAATAATAACAACAACAACAACAACAACAACAACAACAACAGCGTCTACCAATTCGAACGGCGAAGAGTGGGAAGCGTGTGCAACTGTGCGGGTGACCCCCCCCTCCCTTGGATGACTGGTAAAGCACGTGGGGCTTTTCTCGGTGGGGAACCCCGGCAGGAATTCCGCTCCCTCCCCCGAGACCCGGAAGACGCTGGGGCAGAGCCCGGCCCTGCCCGGGGCCACGCGCCCCCCCCCCCCGCCCCGCGTACCTTGCCGCACACTTCGCAGGTGAAGTTCTTGGGCTTGCCGTCGGCCGAGGCGCCGCCGCCGCCGCCGCCGCCGCCGAGCTTGCCGTGGTGGGCTTTGGCGCCGTGCCTCTCGCCGGCCAGGGCCGAGTTCTCCTTCATCACCTGGTCCAGCTGCCCTGGGAGGCGCTCCTTGTGCGGATACTGGGCGTTGGGGAACTTCTCCGGCGGGGTCAGGGCGGCCAGCTTGGCATTTTCCAGCAGGAAGAGCTTCTGGTGAGCCGAGAGGGCGGCGGCGGCGGCGGCGGCGGCGGCCGCCGGGCTTGGGGAGTGGAGGAGGCTGGAGCTGAAGAGCTGTCCGTGGAGGAGCTCCGACGGGTGGTACGAAGAGGCGTCCAGGTAGTTGAAATAGTAGAGGCTGGATCCGTTGGCCGGCATGGCCAGGGCCTGGTTGATGGCCTGCGGCTTGATCACGCCGCGGCCGGTGGCGGGCAGGGCGGCCTGGCCGAGCGGCGGGTGCTGCTGGTGCTGGTGCTGGTGCTGGTGGTGGAGCTCCCCCTTGCAGCACACGCCGCAGCTGGCCTTGCAGAAGCCGCCCGCCGTCGAGGAGCCGCCGCCGCCCGCGCCCAGGGACGCGCCGCAGCTCCGCAGGCTGCTCTTCCACAGCTCCGAGTAGCTGAGCAGCGCCTTCGAGGCGGGCACCTCGTAGCCGGCCAGGGGCTGGATGGGGATCACGCACGGGATGGGCGCGCAGAGGCTGAGCAGCTTCTTGCCGGGCGACTCGCTGCGCCGCGCCTCGAAGGCTGCGGCGGGCTTGGCGTGGTGCGGCTGGGCCGGCGGCGGCGGCGGCTCCGAGCTCTTGGCCATGATCCGCTCGATGGAGAAGGCCAGCGTCTTGGCCGGGTTGGCCGCCCCGGTCCGGACACAGGCAGGAGGCATGACCGTCTCCAGGGAAGCCGAGGAGGCCATCTCTGCGCCGCCGAACGGGAAGGGCGGGGAGGAAAGAAAAGGACACCCAAACTTGAGATGAGCAGCCGGATCTCGCCCATAAAAAATAAGAAGAACGAGAATAATGAAATTTGGAAGGGTGGGGGAGAACCCGAGAGTCAAGTCCGTTTCTCTGCCTGATCTTCCAAGCTCAGTATTCCAGAAAAGCCAAGAGACAAATCAAATTAATAAGCACCCCCCTCTCCCTCTCCCTCTCGCTCCCTCTTCCCCCCACCGCCAACCCCGGCATCTCCTCCCCCATTTACATTCAAATGAACACAGAACAACTGCGCGCGGGGAGACCAGATTGCTGCTCATTAAGCACAAGGCAAGAAACGGGGGGGGGGGGGGGGAGAAAGTAGCAGGCAAACTCCCGAGACCTCGTGGAATGGGCCTGGATTTGAGAAGGCGGCGGGAAGGCGGGGGAGGGCTCGCCACGCCGCCGCCTCGTCCGATCCCTTTCGCTCGGGTCCCACGGTGCTACCCCCGGGGTGGCGGGGGGGGAGGGAGGCGGGGGGCACAAGCCTGGCCTGGGATGAATTACCTTTGCTCAACGCCGCGGAGACGCATCCAAGCTCCGCAGTGCGGCCACAGTGTCAGATTTTGATAACAAACATTTTGCCGAGCGTCAGACCGCTGTCTCTTGCATTTGAAGCTGACATCGCATGAAGTCACTTCAAGCCGAATGACATGGGATTTTGGCCACCGTGGAGGGTGGCTGTGTGTCGGGGCGGGGGGGGGGGGTTCTCTTCCCAGCCAAACATTCAGCTCAGGTTTGGAGGAATGGGAAGGGAGGGGGTGAAAGGAAAGGACCCCCCCCTTCCAATCTGAGGCACGCCGGTGATTCTCTTCTGTGCTGGCCTTTCCGAGGGGAAGAAGGGATGGAGAGGGGGGTGTGCGGAGGGGCGCGGGGGTGGGGTGGAAGGAGCAACTTGCAAATTTTGCATGTGGCAAATTAGGAAGGGAAGTGAGATTCACAAGTTGGGTGTAAAGCAAAGCGTGTACTTAGAAAAGCCACCGAAAAGCAGAGAGCGGAGTTGTATTTATTTTAACAACAACCAAAAAAGGGGGGGGGGTCACAGAAAGAGAATAGGAACAATTTCCAGGATGATCCTTTTCTGCCCCCTCCCGCCCCCATGTTCCAATTTAGGCAACGCGTCCTCAATCAGATCCCTTGCAAAAGCGAGCCGGGAAGATCAAGTGACAATTTATGGACGATCAGCTCTCCTCCCCCCCAGAGCGCGCATAAATGAATAGCTGGTCCATTAATTAGGTCCTGGCCGCGTTAATGCGAATTAAACTCAGTTGAGTGCTGGCGCCCAAGCACTCTCTCTCTAGATCGGCCCTCAGCTTTGGCAAAAAGACGGACAGGCCCATTCAAAGAAAGAAAGAGAGAAAGTAAACAAACAAACAAGCATAGTGAAATCTTTCGGCGGTGGCATCTGATTTTAGTCTGGACCAAGTCCCCTTTTCTGGAAGCGCCGAGATTGTGCAGCAACAAAGCGGAGTGGAGCCAGTTTTTTTCTCTTCTTCTGCCGTTACCTTAGAAAACACCCCCCCCCCCGGGCTAGTAAGTTTCTTTTCTAGGGTGGATGTTTGCAATCATAAAATTAGGGGAAGAACTGTGAGCGCGGAGGGGAGAAGAAGAACGAACCGCCAGATGCCCGGAGGGTCTTTGGTGGGACGGTGGGAGATGGCCCCGTCCCCACCTGGCTTTTGAGGGCAACTCAGCCTTGAAGGGGGCTTGGCCCCTTGCTCGGTTATTCCCCCTTCCCCGTTTCCCCCTCGCGATTCAGAGCTGGCTCAGGCCTCATTCAATAGGGAGACACTATAGCGCTGCGTGGCACCTGATTTTGTCTGTTTCGACAATAAAGAGAAGGATTATTTGGGGGAGGGGGCAGAGGAAGGGTGAGAAAGGAGGCTTATGTAGTAGGTAAAGTAAGGCATGAAAAGCGTCTCCCCCTCCTCTCTTCCCTCTTTCTATTTTTGCAGTCCTCAAACACACACACACACACACACAGAGGCGCACGCACGCAAAACCACCACCCAACTTCGGAGGAATTCCGCTTGCGGTGCGGCGCTCACAAAGGCCGAGTGCGCGCCGCCGCCGCCGCCCCTGGCGGGGGCTGTTTGCAGACACGCCGCTCCACCTGCGCGGCCCGCGGGCCCCCCGAGAGGAGGCCCCCGCCCGGCCCCGAGCCGGCCCCGGATGGCCGCGGCGCGGGAAGAACGGGGAACCGGGCAGCAGAGCGCCCGGCGAGAGGGCGCCCCGCAGGGGCTGGGCACGGGTCGAGGGCCGCTTGTTCACACGGCGGCTTGCCCGGAGAGCCGCCCCCGCCCCCGCCCCCGAGGAGACGCTGCCTCCGCGTCCCCTTAGGAAGCGCGTCGGGCTCGCCAGGGAGAGAGGGAAGGCAGAACCGAAGTGGCGTTTCCAGCCCGCTTAGATCTGTCTCTCCTCCGGTTACTAGACCGGGCGAGTAACTCTCACGCGCAGCGGATATCCCCAAAAGCGTCGGCCTCGGGCTGCCGAAAGACCCTCACGGCCAAGCCCTCCGCTCCCCGCTGGCTGCGTGCTCCTGGCACACGGGAACCTCCGGCTCGGTCCTTTTGCTGGCGCTTCTAGCCCTCACCGAGTCAATCCGGGGCAACGCAGCCTTCCAAGGCGTGCGAGCTGCAGAGGTCTCGGGCGGCTTTTTGAATCCGGCGCACCCTTAGCCGGCGGAAAGAGGCCCCACGGGGCTTACTTCCAGGTAAATGCACTGTGGCTGGGCTGCAGCACTGATTGCCTTTGGCCCCGCATCCGAAGCACAGACCTGGAAGTAATTTTTACGGAACTGATCGGTGATACCTCGGTCCTAGTGACTGCTTTTTAGGTTAGGATCAAGGGGGTGGCGGGTAAACTCTCCTTTTGAGAATTGCAGTGCTTCTCGTGCAAACGGGCGTGCCCATCGGTTTGAGGGTGGGCAAAAAGTAGAGGGAGAGCTAGAAGTTAATCTCTGGATTTCTAAAACTCCCAATAATTTTATCAATAGCAATATAAAATGACACCCAGATCTCTTTCCCAAATGAATTGGTTTTTTAAAACTATTTATATACTTCTAGATGGTATAAGGTTTCAAGTATATGAAAAAATGTGCTGAAAAGAAGCAAGCAGTGGGGCAGATGGACAATCAGGAGTGCGGTTTTGTGTTGAAGGACTGAATTTGGTTCAGTTCTGGTGGTCAAAGCACATTTCCTGACTCAGAAGTCTCTATTTCTATGTCTTTGCAGCTGACTTGGTTTGGTGGATTTTGTTATTCTACTGTGTTTTACATTTATATTTATTAGGACACTTCTGTTCCATCTCTTGCCTCTTGCAAGGAAGTAATGGTGGCTTACATGCTCCTCCTTCTCTTCACGTATCCGCACAAGGGAGCTTAGGCCAAGAGCCCATGACTGGACCAAAGTCACTGCACGGTCAGTGGGGGCTTGAATCCAGACCCGCCAAGTCCTGGGTCAGCAGCAAAAAGATGAGAACACACGTCCTGACGTCTGCTGGCTTTACGTTCTTTACAATGGGGAAAGGAGGTAGACCAGCATCTCCTGGGGACAACAGACCACGGGGGGGAGGGGGCTTTATTACGGATGGTCCTCAGGGGTGCCACCAGGGCAAGTCCAGGCCCCACTCAGCAGAATGGGCAAAGGGGTTCCGAATTCCTGCAGGGCTGCCTCATCACATTTTGCAGCAAGTCAAGGGTTGCTCGACCCACAGAGGAGCCGGACTCGAACCTTACATAACCACCCCGATCTCTGGGCTGAAGTTTTGCGCTGATCTAAGAGTCCAGGGCTGTGTGTTCCTTACTCAGAGTATGGCCCGTGAACTCGGTGGGTCTTTCTTGGAGTACCCACGCACTGCAAGGCTGCAATCCGGTGCACACTGACTTGGAAAGGAGTCTCCCGTAATCGATGGGTCTTGCTTGCGAGTAAGCTTGCGGCGCACCGTGCTGTTGGTTTCCGTGCCGAGGTTATTTTGGAACGTGCGTGTCTGAGAGAGGAGCTTCTCTGCTTGTTCCAGAAGAGGCGGGGATGGAGGAGAAAGTTATCCAGGGCCATTAGCTGCGATGGCTGGACACTCCCACCTGCATGCCCGTGTCCACACGAGCGGGACCATCGCTGAGAGGGTCCTGACGTCCTGCTTGGGGTTGCCGTGAGCAGGTGGCCACTGTGGAGACGGAAGGATGCTGGACCGGAAGCAACGTGGCCTGACCCCGCGCGGCCTCTGGGGCCACTCGCGAATCCGTGGCGAGCGCTGTCGCCGTCCCCGCTGGCCACGAGGGACGCGACCGGGAGGGAGAAGCGCTTTGCAGGTAAACAGCTCGGGGTCTGCGCGCCGAAAAGAAACCTCAAGTTTCCTGCGCTCCCTCCTTCCGCCCACCCGCGTTCTCGCCGTCTATCTGGAGCTGACAAAGAGTTTCTTATCAGTCTAGCCCAGTGAGGCATGTAATCCACAATTGTTCCAGCAGCAGCAGCAGCAGCAGCAGCAGCAGCCTCTCCCGGGGGGGGGGGGGAGGGAGGGAGGGAGGTTTCCCCTCCCCAGCCCGCCTCGGGTCCCCCCTGCGCGCCGCCGCCGCCTCCGGCCCATCTGCGCTCGCAGGCTGCGGCGTTCGTGCCCGGCCTGCGTGGCTGGCGAGCTTCGCGCGCGGGAAGGGCGCTCGGAGTTGAGGCGCCCGGGGCGCCGCTTTTGGCTCCCGCAGAAGCGCGCTGGTTTCAGCGAAGTATTTAATTAGCCTCCACAAACTTCTTCTCCCCGCACCCGCCCCTCCCCTCCCCCGCCTTTAACTTCGCCCGCAGATTATGCCGAGTGGAGGGTTGGGAACTATTTTACACCTTGCCACTCACACGTTAATTAATCTCTATCTAACCCTAATTGCAGCTTATTCGAGCGCCGCTCAACAGCTCACCCACACAATAAAAACACTGAGCTTACTTTTATCCATCTTACT